CCACAGACCATGCAAAAATTAAGCAATATATACACTTTAACCATATAAAGTCCACATAAAGAAAACGAGTGTCTGATAAAAACCGAAATAGCAAAGAAAGCAAAATAAGAAAAAAAGTAACAAAAACAAAGCTTTCACCTTAAATCGATAAAAGCCATATTCAATGACGCAATCTGAGAACTATATCCGTTCTGTCCATTATCCATCTGCAACCAATAACTTAGAAGTAGCTTTTCCGAACTTAATTGTGAGAAAAAAGACAGCTGAAAGTTACAAAGAATAAGAGAAATACAAAAACAGAAAGTTACAAAGAACAAGATAAACATTACGTGACAAATAAAAGCACAAAGAATAAGATAAACATTACATGACAAAATCAATATCTAAAAATTCGTTCGAACTAAAAATCAAACTGAAATAATACCTCATTTCAACGATTGTCATTTGAACAACCACCGAACGGAGAGCGGTAGGAAGAAATTACTTCTCCCGCAATTGCCATCTTTTCAATTTACTGTCATCAGTCGAGCACTTCTAAACTCTTCTTGTACATTGCAGCTCCGTAGCTGTGTGTACATTTTGCACTTTTTTCATTATCTTATATTCATAGTTTTTAATTACACACGATAAGGACTACAATTTCCATCGTTATTATTTCGGAATTTCAAAATACTGAGAAATGCTGAGAAACCGACAGTGATCCTTTCACATTTCATTTCACGGCACGTACCAAAAACGAAGGCCACATTTTCGATCAGGTAAAGCGCGCAGATTAATTTTTGTTTACTACCGCAATAGAATAGTGCCGAGGTGAGTGTTTCGAATGATATGTTTACTGGAGGTTTTCATCTTATCGATGTGATTGATCTTTGACCTTTGTGGTATTAATGAAATCATCTCTATAGTGTATTCTATTAACACTTGAAGAATGGCAAGAGTTGAATACGGAAACATTTTAAAATGGCTTAAACCCTAAATTAGGAGTTTTTAATTGCTTTTCAGATTCCTTTAATCGTTAATTCTAGTCGGATCAGAAGTGCTAATGAATATGGAAGAAGGTAACATGGAGATGGCAGGTTATACTCCAATGTATCGTTACCAGTTCCGGGTAATAATGATCGGTGATTCGACAGTGGGGAAATCCAGTTTGCTTCGATATTTTACAGAGGGAAAATGTGCAGAAATTTGTGACCCCACAGTTGGCGTCGATTTCTATGCGCGAATGGTGGAAATCAAACCAGGATATCGGATAAAGTTGCAACTTTGGGATACCGCTGGACAAGAAAAGTTTAGGTGGGATAAGTTAATTACAAGCATATTATTTCAATAAGGGGTGGTCGAGGGTGGTGCTGATTCAAAACTGTTGAGATACTACCAATGTCACTTCAATTAGAATCGTCGTAGAGCACATCTGAGCTAATCGCTAAGGAATTTTCATAACATATTTTAGGTAGCTTATGATGACTATGGATGACCTTAGGTTTTGTTGGTTGAAACTGAACTCTGCTTATGACAATTCATCTTATTTGAAATAAATCCAGCTGTATCTTTAAATTTATTGCAAGCAAGTTTTGTGTTTGTTTCACTTTTACTTTTGTCGTTTACTAGAATATATGTTTTGCTGAAGGGACGAATAGTAATGCATTTCAGATCAATCACTCGTTCCTATTACCGTAATTCAGTGGGTGTAATTATTGTATATGATATAACAAATCGATCAACTTTTGACCATGTTGCGCAGTGGCTGAAAGAAGCAGAACAGAATGTTGGCGGTCCGCAACCGAATAACTGTGTTTTCCAACTCATTGGCCATAAAGCTGATTTAAATAATGAACGTCAGGCATGTCATGCATTCATTTTTAAAATTAAAGTTTTAGTGGCACATTGAAGCAGGTTCATAACTTTTCCTGAAAGTTTGAGCGTAGTTACCTGCCATTTCTTACTTTAATGCTTACGAGCTGCACCAGCGTGTCGGTTGTCGTTATTTTCATTTCTTCAATAGCGTAAAACATTCCATGCATGAGAAAATGTTGGGTGAGATACTGGAAAACTATTACTGATGGAAGTTTCGAGAAGCATTTGTAAAAAATTTCACATTATCGCCTCAGTTTGTTGCTTAAATGCGATTCTGATGGCAGAAAGTGTTCCATTTTGCAGGTAATGTATGAAGAAGGCGAATATTTTGCCAAATACAACAAAATCAAATTTTTGGAAACTTCAGCAGTTACGGGTGAAAATGTGCAGGTTAGTATAGCAGTTATATTTCTTGAAAGCTTAGAAACTGTTTACATGAGCTATAGAAAGATTGAGTAAACTGTACACCTCTCGCGTTTTTCGCGGAACGATTTAAAAAATAATTTAAAAAGTATTTATTTCCATAATTTAAGAATACTTGACTCTAATTTTCAGGAGTCATTTAAAATGATTGCACGAGAAATCTGTAATCGAATTCAGAATGGGCAATTACGTTTAGTTGATGGTTGGGAAGGTATTCGAAGTGGTATGATGCGTGCGAAATCATTAACATTATCAGAAGGCTCTAATGCACCATCTTCAACTTGTGCATGCTAGTTCACCCAGTATGTACTTCTCTCAATATTAATATAATAGCTGTTGTGTATAAAAGTAAATACATGTCATCTCATGCGATTAATCCCTGTTTATGATCAGTTTTTTTAATTATTCAATGCTTTTGAAATTGTAAGGACTATGTCGGACGACATTGTGAATCTTCAAATTGTGAACGAAATCGACCTCGTGTGAATGATTCTTAGATTACAATGCTCAGTGCTGTTTACTTTCACAGTTTTGTTTATATAGATTATCTAGTATACAGCGTTCCAAGCACAATTTGTCTGAGTGTACATTATATAACACATATGTTGCAGTCTTTTTATTAATTATCGTGTCTATGTTTGTAAGTTTGTTTACTGCTCAGTGCCTTACTGAAAGCATATGGCATATCAGATTTTCGTGACTCTTAAATGTCCAAACAGTTTTCAGTGATGGAAGATAAATTTCGAAGGAAAAATGCTTAATAGGAAGGGAATGCATAATAACCAAATTATCTCGTGAAATTGACTATTTTCGTCTTCAATGAATTTGATGTTAATCGATTGTAAAAAAAATTTCAACACTTAAAAATTAATCTTCATTAAAGATAGATTGTACATTAATATAGCATGAGTTCCGTGCTTTCTTCCGAATAATTGTAGTTGGAACTCAATTTGCCATATGGTGTGTTTAGAATTTTTCATGTATAGATGTACTTTTGCTGTTACTTTTGCTTTGTCTGATGGTTATCTTTTTAAAATATTGTAAGTAGTATTTGCGGTCAGATAAATTAATGAAGGTGCATATAGGTTTCACTTGCTTTACCATGTAGTTAGTTGACCTTAATTTCGGTTTATTTCAATTTGATGTAATTAGATAAGCAGAACAGATTTATGGAGAAATAGATTGGCTAGTGAATCGAGAAAAATCGAAAATGAATCGAGAGATGAAATCTGTTCTATAATACAATTTTAAGACAGGGGAGTTCTTGTCTTTATTGTACTTATTACTGCAATAATCATTAAGTTGAGGACCGTATATTTTACAAAAGATGAATTTTTGGTGTTCCATTTCCTTCACTAGGGCTAACTATTTTTTAATACATGATAGCAGAATTTTTTAAATTTTATAAATCATTGAAAGAAGCAAAAATAGGTAATGACAAGTCGATGTGTGATGTTCAGTGAATTCATAGCAAACAAATGTTAAGGAAAGGAATATCTATTTCCTGAAATAGCAAGGTTACATGAAAGAACTCGGTAGTTTTACTGTACCATCGCAGGAAAACTTACATATCTGTTCCACTCTTAAATCTTTAATTTTTCATTTATACAGATTTCATCACGAAGAACTGAATAGTGTAATTTTTACAATAGGTGACATCCCATGACCCTGTAGATAACTTTTGAAAAATTGAAGTGTATAAGGGGAAAATAGTTTTTCATCACAATAAAACGAATAAGGCTTCTACAGAACAGAATTCCTGGAAAGGATCACTATTACAACGGTATCCCAAAACTCGGTTATTGGAAAGATACCAATGTATCATGTGATCAACTAGCTCCTAAAATTAGCCAGGACTGCTATTTCATACATCGAAAAGACGTAGGCCTTTTGGAATTTTTTTGTACTTTTTGTACCTTTGCTTAGATTAAATTTATTAGTAAAATTACTGGACTACTTGATTGTGCTTAGAAGTATGGTTTATACCGGACGGAATAAAGGACCTGCAAGCAATCATATAAAGTCATAATTCACTGCCATTTATCATCAGTAATTATGCATTTTGAATTAGTATCCCAAAAATTAAATGCATATTTAAAGCCCCAAAACGTGAAATTTAATTATTGCATAAGGACCAATATAATTTGCAACCTGCAGGATTGTCATTTTCAGGCAGAGGGTTTTGTAGTTGCGTTGATTGATTCTCTGATCCAGTTTTTTGATAGTATCTGTATGCGGTAATTGCTTAGAAGATTTTACGATTTGCATTATGTTACTGTATTATGCTTTGAATTGAATCGGTTTTTCGATAGATGTAGATGAGTTTAATTCGATTAAGTTGCAGCTTAACTCTCTTTGTAAAGGCTATTCTCCATATCTTTATTTGATGTGTTAGAAACAACAATATATGGATGTTGAGAATTATTACGGCTGTAAGAGTTCCTCTTATATTATTCTTTTGTCGATAGAAATGCAAAGAGTAGTCCCTTGCGTTATTTCACAGTATTCTCTTTATAAACTTCAGAATTTTAAATTCCTACTCGGCAATTCACAATTTCTACCTGTTTTGGACAAATATATAACTTGTGAACTAATTTCATAGATAACATGTGAGGGTTATTTTATACTGGCAGAAATCACTAACCATTAGAAGGAGACCTTAGATGATTCTTTTGGAGTAGTTACGTTACGTAACTACAAACTAACGTCAATTGTTTTAGTCCATGGAAGAAGCATTTTATGAACCGGAATATATCGTCGATATGAAAGTAACATCAGGTCGCTGCTTTTATCTCATCAAATGGAAGGATTTTCCTATGTTAGTTTACTTTTCTGTCGTAATCACTGTTTGCTGAAATTTCTGCATGTAAGCCTGAATAAATCTATATTTTTCTTAATAATAAAAGACAATTTGAAATTCAGTTTTCATATCCTTAGCGAAAAACTTTGTAACGCTTATTTGTTCACATCAGCGATCTCATGTTTCCAAAATTTGCTTGAAAATTTTAGGAATGATTGTACTTGGGAACCTACGGAGAATCTTATAAACTGCGACACTTTGATTACGGAATATAAAAACTCCGAAAAAAGACAAGGAACCGTATGTTAATTTATTTCGGTTTCATAATATTCCTGTTAACTGTATTTTCAACTACTAAAATAGGTTAATCAGTCATTTAAAAGAGTGGTAAGATTGTAGCCACAAGAGAAAGAGCTGAAGAAACGAGGCAGAAAGAAAAAGAATCAGAAGCAATCAACTCTTTCGGCCAGCAATCCTTTGGTATTTAAAGTTTTTTTATCTTTAATATTCGATTCCTATCAAGGGAAAGATAATAAATTAATAGCGAAGAATCCCATTAATTGCCGATAAGAACTGGGAAGCAACTTTATGAGTTTCCTGGCGTTACCTGGTATACGTCAAGCCACATATTTATTGTTTCCTGTTGGCACATGACTTGTGCAAAGATATTGAATCATAAAATCCGTTATGTTCTTTTGCTTCTTTTACGTTTATGTTGGTACTTCTAATTCAGCTAAGTTTATGAGTAAATCAGAATTACCGTTTGCAAAATACATACATGCTTGCAGAATTCAGGAAAACGTGTTGGCGATACAGCTTTTTGCAAGGAACTGTCAAAAGAACGAACATCGGATATAAATGCTTCTAAGACAATAGATTTTTCAACTGTTGCAACTTTGGTTCGTAGAGAACAATATATGGATACAATTCGATTTGAAGCTCAGCTGTAAGCTTTTATTTTAATTTCGATGATGTAGCCAACATAATCTGAGACTACCCCTTGCATTCCAATGTTGATGTTCAAAAATTTCTCACGTTTTACTACTCTTAGTGTGACAAAACGCTTACTGTTTTCTGAGTAGTTCGAACGAAAACTGTAAGCCTACAAAATATAGTTCAAAATATTTTAAAATTAAACAAAACTCTTCTTATAAGTTCAAAATAAAATGAGAAATTCAGATTTCTTGCGTTCCATCATCAAATTTCCTATAAAGCTAAAATGATAAACGTAAGATGAGTCCAGCCGATTTTTCTTTTTTCTCTGTTCAGTAGCCTAAAAGGACTTGAAACGTTTGAAGTAATTTTTGCACATTTTTTTATTCCATCGTTTCCAGTGCTGATGGAAATTCGGTATGGATAAGCGACCGAGATGCCCATGTGCATCTAAAAGATCATCTGATTAAATTCTACGAACGTATTTTGGATCTCAATCCTCTTGAAGCGTAATTTTTATCAAGTATATATTATTTTCGAAGATGAACAAGAAACTGGAGTATTTACTTTTTATGTATTTTCGACAAAGTAACGAGGCATCCTACTCTTCTTGTTCAAATTTACTGGTTTATTATACAAAAGAATTGTTGCGGATTTGATAGTTATGAATTTTCCTCGAACTTCGCTGTATCTTGAATTGGGGTTCAGATGCTCTTATTTCAAATGTTAGTTCGAGCATCTCTCGGAAGCTGCAACAGCACTTTGAAATAATTTGATATGTGGACAGCATGGTGGAAGTAGAATCCCAAAGCTTATAGGAGCAGTCCGGAATGTTAGTTTTATTAAGTGAAGTTACTTATTTCATTCATTTCGTATAGTTACCTTCACTGAGTATTCATGCAGTAGGAACCAGATGCAGCTTGGAAATAAGATTTCTTGATCTCGCATATTTAAATAGTTTGTATATTTCTCTTTCACACTTCTATGCAATTATACATGATCGAGTTGTAGGATCTCTTTCTCCCTACTGACCTACTGAAGAGTCATGAAAAATACTTTTACGATGGTTAGTGATCTCGTGAAAGTGATTTACTACTAAATCGGTATTGCCTTGAAAGGAAAAGTTTATTCTTCATTAGCCTAATACGAATCTCCATATTTTGTAACTTGTATCCATGTGTTTTATATTTTATAGCATACACAACCATATGAAAGTTTGTTGTAATCCAGGTACCAATCTGTATGAAGAGCACATGTTGTCACGAATCAACTACCTAATATAGGCGATCTGTTGATCCAAAACTATAACACTCAAGATTTACTGGTACCAAAAGCTCTAATGTCTATTCACAAACAGATTTATTCATTGTTATTGTGATCTTTGTTTCTCAAGATCTATGGATTCAAACAAAATTTTCTGACTTTTTAATAACGCTTTTCAGTTACCTTGAAGTTGATGGTGATACTTGAAAGCATAAAATAAGACTTCAATAATTCTCTCTAAACATCATGAGTTTTTTTGAATAATAACATAACTAGAAATACCACCATCAAGTTCAATCCATTTTAATAGCGACTGCAATTTAAATATTTTGGCTCTACACTGGTTCAGTTTTCTTGCATAACACAAAGATTTCAAATTTATGAAATTGGAAGATGTTGTATGAACAGAGTAATATTTAACAGTAATAGGCGAATTGCGCTAAAGATTTATGTATGTCTTTAATACCTGATTGTACATCATTTAGTCAATATTGCTACAAAAGGTTGGCCCACGGCGGTATAATCGGTTGTGGATTTTGCAAGTAACTCATAGCAACAGCGGAAATTGATAACCTGAAAATTTGTATTATATAATTATATTTACGACCAACCGTAGACAAACTGCGTAAAAAAAGCAACTGTAAATAAGCTCTGAAAGCTGGATCAAACATATGCTGCGAGATCGAGTTAACTAAAAATTATTTGCTGTACTTTTGCCTTACCCAAACCGAAAATGTTTTTTTAACCTTACAAAGCGTAACTACATGAACGAAGAATATTTTCTCTTGTCGCTTTCCTATTAGAATGGGTCCATGAATTTAAAATGGATTACAAAAGAGCTCACATGAAACTGCTAACAATTTGTTTTGCATCATCGCCCGTCCTCGCATTAGCAAAACTAATACAGGAACATAGAAGTGCTACCCAAGCGCACCATTTCATCTAATAAAGGATCAAATTAGAGTAGACTTGAAGATCAAAATTCTTTATTAACCATTCTCTATATACAAATAATAAATGTGCGTTGATCTACGAAAATATTATAAGTAATTTTCCAGACAAAAAATTCTTTCTCCTTAGCTCAAAAATAATAATCATTCATTTCATTTTCTCGCTCAGTGCAATAAAATGTATTAATGATAATCTTTTTCTTTTCAAAATCGTCAAAAAATATTAACGCAAATCTTACAGGCAATCTGACAGAACACTGGATGTTTTATGAAAACAACAAGTATTCTGCTCATTGCAAAATATTGTTAGCCATTTCAGAGAAGATAACAACATAAATTTTTAAAATGAAATGATAGAAAATAAAAAAACGTACTCTCATCATTAATCCACACATACTAAAAACCATTCCTAACACATTCATGTATTCAGGAATTGGATCATCTGTGAGCGAAAGAGATGATTGCGGATCCATAGGTTTATATCTGAAAAAGTGAAAATATTTAGAAATACCAATCAAAAGTTCATAAAATACATTCGCAGTCCACAAAACGGTTAGGAACCAACTTTTTCTAAGAGACATTGGGACTAAAACTCAGATTCGTTTCTACTAGGATATTGGGACTAAAAAACGCTACATAGAATCTAGCAAATTGGAAGTAACCTCACCTTACTATTCTGCCTGGCCTTTTTACATCGCCGTTCTGCATATTCATTTTCGTGCAAGGACAATCAGCACGAAACTGCAATTTCCATTCGTTTATAATGTTAGTGCAGCACATCATTTCATGCAATGTAAGAGTGATTTTGCAACATACGTGCGCTTCCAATTAATTTTCAAATTCGGAATTGTAAAATTTCTTTTAAGTCCCGCATGCAAACATTCGGTGAATATTCACTTTTTAATAATATACTTCAACCTGCCATGGGAAATGGCTATTTTAAAAATTTGTCACAGTCACAAGTTTTTACTCTTTACCATGATTCTTGGATTTTGTAATCAAAGAAATATTTCAAGTTATTGAGGCATTACAATTTTAACAAAGTCATCTCAAGTTAAGAAACAAACAACAAAAAGATTTTTGATAACGAATTAAACGTAATCTAACCAAACTAATGAAATAACATAAAAAGAGCAAAACTAAATAAACAACATAGCAAAATGAAACTCATATATAGTTCTTGCAAATTTTGCAGAAATTGTGTACAAATGCCCTCAAAATTTAACACTCATTTTAATTTATTAAATCTACCTGCTTTCGGATAACAGTTTTACACAGTGGAGTACTTTACCCATATGTTTAAATAACATTCATAACATGAAATTGTAGTTGAAAACATAAAAAGTTTAGTGCAGTAAAAATCAAGAAATTCTTGAGGAAACAGAATCTAAAAAAGTTAAATCTTCGGATGCTTTTTTCTTCTGTACTGTACCGCCAAGGGTATCAATAAATCTTTGCGCAAGTATGTCTTCTTGAATATGTCTTTTTAAAGATCGCTGCATTATTTCGACAATTTCTTTCGCAAAAACTGTTCGCAGCACGGGGATGAGTTTTGCTGAGAGTTTTAGGTCGCTCGGTGTAACAATCATATTGTCCATAGCAACGGTTACATTACCCGCTTTTTCGATATAATCTGGTAATGGTGGTACCTGGAACTAAGCACAATTATTGCTTGGTTTATGCGAACAAGGTAAAATCGCAATAAATAAAGGTACATTTGTAACATGTTTTCCGGAAAAAAATCCGCTTTTAATATTCTAATTTGTATTCTCCGTCTAAACTCCTTGCAGTTTCACAAATCACAAATAAAATGAGAAAAAACACGAATAACAAAAAATAAATGACAGAAATTCCCAGTTTAGCTTCCCGCAGCTTGTAAATCTCCGACAAAAATTTAAATCAAGAAAAGTAGAACACAAACCTTCGGATACTTCGCACTAAAATGTGTCAGGACTAAATTCTTCGCACCCATCTGTGTAGCAACATCATAAGCTTGCTTCATTGTACTATGTTTCTTATAAAGGGCATGTGCCTAGAAAATTAAAGAATACAAATTTGATTTCAAAAAACTTGTTCCAGAATCTTTAAATCATTATAAAGCCAGGAGAGAAGAAATCCATAAATAAATAGAAAGAAAGAACTATTTCAGATCCTTTCTACAGAGCGCTTAGATCACCAAATAAAATAAAAAACCTCTTCATCATCCGCAAAAGTCGATTCATGAACAAGAACTAGGGCATCTTTTCCATGATTAACAAGCTGCTTACAAGGCATTGTGTCACCGGAGAAAACAAATTTCCGGTCTTTCAAATCAGTAAATACATAACCAACAGCAGTTCTTGCATGATTCACCTGAAATGGTAAGCTATTTCTATTAAATTTTGGACAGTTATAAAATGAACGCCACATAAAACAGCAATTCATTAAAAAATTCGCCATGCAATGAAAAAAATAAGAAATTGTATTATTCAATACAAAAATCCCCGATGATTCTACCATTGACTTCAAGAATGGATTGTTGGGAAATCAAAAATACAAAAATGGGTAAAAGATACCTTAACTGCAACGACACTTTTAAATCCAAGATACTCTGTGTTTGCAATTTCAGAAGGCATTTCACCAGTCAAATCGACTGCCTCCACTGAACCTCCTTTCTCCTGAGAAAGCCTACAAACCAGAAATAGTGATTCAGTAGAAAGCAATTTTAAACGATTTCAAAATAATCTTTCTACAAATTATACACATGCTTTACTTTGCATTTTAGAAGTAACAAAACTTACGTCCATAATATCTTAGAGATATCCACGATATGCATATCCCGTGTATAGTTACCAAAACTACGATCAACATCACGGAAAACTTTCAAAACATGATTGCCACCAGCCACAACTAATGGCTTGTACGTTATGCCTAAAGATTATCAATATAATATAAAATTTACGAAACATCTAAAACAGAGAAGTATTAAAATTTAAGAAGCTAGAAATAAAATCCACCTCTTTTCATAAATAATTCTTTTCGACATCGAACAATTGTAAAAATTCCATGATAATGATCCTGATGACCGTGTGTAATGAAAACTGCATTTAGTTTCAATAACAGATCTTCACAGACTGTGTCACCAAACAAAGTGCGTAATTGACCTGGAAACATACGGCCTGGCACCTTCATTCCAATTAAGTTTCGAAAAAATGAACTCTTGAAATTTCTACGATCGCTTGTCAATTATGAATTCTGTATTTTTTCACAGCCCTAATTATAAGAAAAGAAAGAAACCCAGAGTTGTGGAATGCATATCATAACCTAATAAAATATTTAAACCACATTAAGACGTCCAATTTAAAAAACTTTTAAACGGATGGTACTGAACTAATGACCAGCTTTTAAGCAATGAAAAACACAATAAATGAACAAACAATTAAAAAAACTAACCGTACGATCCTTCGCCGCAATCAACAAATACACAAGAATTCTCGTTAAACTGAAGAAAATATGCACTAACATTGCGGAAACTAGTAGGCACGGCTGATGATGTACCAAGAAAACAAATCCGGGGCCAGGTGTCTGCGCTTTCTAGCAAATTCGATGCTAAGAAATTTAACTTCATGTAGTTGATGGAACTGCACAGCATATATATCTTATAGATTTTTTGATATAAACTTTTTGATTTTTTGATAGTAAGAACAATATTGTGAGCCCTTCAAAAGCAAATTGTGTTCATATCGATAGCATTTATCATCGAAGATACAATACAACAATAAAAATTTTTCCCTGCACTCGACATCCCATTAAATTCCGACTCTCAGCGGAAAGACTTTTACAAAATGGAAAACAGATAAAAAATTTAACAAATAAATTGATAGCTGAAAAACGGAACTTACTGCACGTGAATAAATTAATAGCTTCGGAAGTTGCTGAGTCTTCCTTCAGTTGTAGCAACAAATCAGTACGAGTTAACGATACGTTAGGTGGTGATGAATCTATATTGACAGGTTTTCGCAGAAAATATCGCTGGAATGGTCTAACATAGAGACAGTTACCGTTCTTTTCGCAATCATCATCCTAGAAAAGATAGCCTTAGATATAAATTTAAAATCTGGTGTCACTGTTAACTTCCTTTTTTCGAGGACAAGCTAAAGAAGAAGAAATATAACGAAAACCAAATCTATATCAATTAAGATGAATGAAAAGATCATGTCACTAATGTTTTCTTTCACAGAACGATAATTTTAATAAAAATGAAGAACATATATTATTAATGATTTGAAAATCCTAAGGGCTCACTATTCTGCATCCGTAACTTCTTCAAAAAAAAAAAAAGCAAAAAGTGATCTGTGACATATCTTGTAAAACTTTTAATTACCTGCTGTATCGTACCATTGAATCCTTTTGGATGCAAAGGAGGAAACAACTTTGGGCAAATGTGATTCAAGATAACATTGATACGATACATTGCCTCCATGTGAGGCAGACATGGGCCGGTGCCATTAACAATGATATGCTCCACGCTTTCACCAAATGAAGCCATCCATGATCTGTATTCATCATTACTCAGTACCGAATTTTCAGTGAAATGAACGATATACCGCAAACTTTTGTTTTGGCTATTATAATCCTATAAAAATACATTATTAAGAAAAAGTTTGAACTATACGAAGACGGTATTAAATGATAAAAACATTATGAGAGAGAAACGAAAATTCGAAATGTAACTGAAATTTACATCATCTTTTTCACATTTAATAGAAATTTGCCACTTACTCGAAGTAAAGTATTATTCTGCAATGATGGGAGCTTTCTTAGGTCACTGCATTCAACAATAAGACAAGCATGCAATGGCTTAGCCTTTACATCGCTTAAGACTTCTTCTGCCTGTAGTAAGACCTCATTCATTTATCTATTTTGCACCATTATTAGTCAAGTTTTCGGTTTTAGTTTTCATTTAATTTCCGATTGCCTAATATTTATGTTAAACTTCACTAAAACGACTGTCATAGAATAGTGCTTATCAGACGAAGTATCAAACATCCTTTCAAAAGAATAATAATGTGATACCGAAAGTTTGACTGGAGATATAACAAAATAAAGATTTAATTTAATAGAGGTAATGAATCCAATTTTGTCTCATAAAACTAAAAATCGAATTCTTGATGTCTTCATTTCCATTCTACATTATCTTTACCAGAAATTTATTTGTTCACTTTTTTAAATGTACATGCCAATGCAATTAAACGTTATATGGTTCTGGGTAAGGAAGCGACACGTCATAATATTTGAATGTTGCATTGAAGCACCCATGAAATTGTATACGCTGTTTAGATACAAAAAGTAATTCATAGAGTTCTCATAATCGTATAAAAACCAAAAACAAACCTTAATAAAACGTCCATCAGACAGCGTAATATTTTCACCATCCTTCAGCTGCTTCATGTGAGGACCACTGGGGATTTTCAGCTTCTTAATTTTTTGGATGTCCAAGGGCCTTTGCAGCGGCTTTAATTCAACCAAGAAAGCTATATCTAGCTAAAAAAAACTTGAGAAAAATTTTTTCGAAATGGAATCATATTGCATTGTAATTTACCTATTTACAATTACCTATTTTCACTTTCGTTCAAATTCGGTCTTTAAAAATTTACTTCATTTCTAAATCTAATTCGTTTACATCTTTGAAATGTTTATAAAAAATGCAAACCTTTTCCTGCAATGATCGGTGAGGAGTAGAAAATGTCGACACTGGTATAAAATGCACAGTCAATGCATCATCTGAGTAGAGGCCGCAGCTTAGTGGACGTTCTTCCACATGCAAACCGAATTATTCATTTAAATTTCAATATATTCTATCGAAAAACAACAAAGAATTAAATCAAACCCAACTAGCGATAAAAGAAAAAATCCGATAAAATAAAACTTTAGTCCTGATATAAAATTTGAACTGATCGGTTGGAATTACTGCAATCCAAGTTTTTTGACTTAAAAAATCTACAAGCTACATAACATTGGAAAAAACGAGATATGCAACACGAAATGAAGTAAAGAAATAGCTTCGAATCTCAACATTTCTTCTTTGAATGTTATACATTAAGTAATTTAAATGTAAGGATCGTCCTTATTTCAACGAAAATTAGATTTTAAATTTGAAAACTATACTTTGGTGGTCACGGTTGACGGAAAATCAGCATCAGTATGATCATTTTGGGACTCAAAATACTTCATCTTGTTATGAGAACCATGCAACCTGATAACTCGATCAAGTTTGGATGATGATGAAGCTACTGGCGTTTTCAGCAATCCTGATACGCCGGCAAAATGTTCCCATGTATCTAAAAATTTGCGTAGAGTTACCAACTCAGTTGAATGTGCTTTAGATAGATTACTTAAGTTTGATGCGGTACTTCTAATAAAAGTAATTCCCACAATATATCAACAGACGTTTAATAATTCCCACAATATATCAACAGACGTTTAATAATTCCCACAATATATCAACAGGCGTTTAAAATTTTAATAATATCAAGCTAAACAAGTCTATTGCAAATTAAGATACAATAAGGCAAATTACTCCATAATTTGCTAATTCACGAGGTAATTTTAAGGCAAATTACCTCGTGTAAAGAAGATATCGGTAAGATTAATAGCTTTCAAACGATTCGAAGCCAGGAATCGTGAGGTGCCTTCCGGACAATTAAACAAATAATCTTTGTAATTAGTATGAATAACGACACATGGCCTAAGATGGGTTGTTCCATTGCTTATAATCTGCAATAAAATACAGACATTTACAAAGATTTTACAGCAGTTAAGAGAATACTGGGAATAAAATTCTTAAAAACTTCAGCATTGTCGTCTTCGTACATGGTTCTAAATTATTAGTTTTTAAATTATTGTAATTATTTTAAAAAACAAACTTCGATTGATACACTAGATGGGATTGCTGGAGGTGTTTTTTTGTTCATTTGCTCTATGTCTGCCAGTTCTTTTGTTAAAATTTCCACAGAGGACAACGCTTTCTTACCAAGATAAGTGGTGTGACTGTGCCTAAAAAACTATGACAGTTAGTGCATAATGGAAAATCTCTTCCCAGTGAAGCTACATATAGTTACTTTTTAATGCCAGAAAATACTCCTTGATGCATTTGAATACCTGGCAAGATATTTTCTGTATTCACTTATTTGTCGATTCAAGGCTTGAACAATTTCTTCAATATCCTGTTCCTTTTTAACTGAAAATAGTACAGACCATAATTTCGGGGAGAATATATTAAGTGCACTTCTTACCTGTACCGCCTTTAAAATCGTTTAAAAAAAGTGAAGTATTTCAGTATTCCCAGAAGTAATGCTATCTATAACAAGCTCAGTTTCAAACGAAGAATTTATGTCAACTTACTAATACTATTTTTAATGTAAAAGACCTGAAAGGTATTTCTTTTGAAGTAAGGAAATGTCGCAGATGAGAAGTCGAGAAGAAATTTTTTGCAGCAACGAAGTAACTCGTCCAGATAACATTCATCGGTAAGAGATATCAACCCAGTGCTTCCAAATAAAACTGAAATCTCACTTTAGCAGGAAAAGAAAACTAAAGCATTATTCAATCAAATGAAAATACTCTCAGCATTTTTTTTAACAAACTCTAATTCTAATAACTGATGAATGCAGCCTTGGGTTCAGGAAAAGAAAGCTTGAAGATATCGGCCTAAAAACCAAAATGTATCATTCATAATACCTTAGAATAAGTCTCTCAGATTAGTACGATTTCTTGATCAATGCAACTCATATGTCTTTTACAGAAATCGTGACCCACTCGAGTATATTATCACTCCAGAATGCAACCACCAGTCGAATATCAAATCTCCCTGATAAGAAGCATCAGGGAGAGCCCACACACAGAGAAGTTGACTCCGTTAGATTTCGAAATTACTGGTATGCAAATTTGTGAATCTCACAAGCATCAGTTTGTATTTTTATTTCGTGCAGGGATTTCTTTCGAGAGGAATTTGAATTCTTTTATTGGGGGATCATCAAGAATTACTGCATCTTTCCGTTCGCTTTTACAAATCAGAATCTCTCATTGAGTTTGTCCAAAAAGGAATTTTTTTATTTTTCAACAATTTGATATTCAAATAATTGTTGGAAATGAATTGGCTATTTTCATTAAAGATTCATTTAATTTTGCTCAAGTCAAATTTATCCAAGCAAATTATTTCTTAAAACTTATTTTCTAGCAATTATCATATCACAATTGAAGCTATGGTTGCACGTATTATGAAGCTTTCGGTTCTACGTTTGTTTCTTTATCTGCTTTATCAATCGCTTCCTTTTTTGGCGAAGATTGTGCAGTTGGCGCGGCACCCAAAATACTAGTCTTGTATTGGCTTAAAAGACCTTCTCCACCTTCTTCGTTTTCCGTCCTTGAAATTGGTTTTTCCCAATCATATGGATATTCCTGTAATAGATGCAAGCATGTATTTAAAAATTTCAGATTTATTTTTTCGAAGAAAGAAATCTCATCGTTCAAATTCAGCTCAAGACAATAAATTCAAAAAATAATGGATAAACAAATTTCTCCAAACCTGACTCTTTGTTTCCTGAATAGCAATACGCATCAAACTATAAATTTTTTCATAATCAGGTGCGTCGAAAAATTTCGTCTTATCGCATATTTCAAGTATCTCAATATATTTTCGTGGGCAACCGCCGAATAATCTTTTTAAGCCTTTATCTTTACGACATTGCTTTTTTAATACGCCGATAGCATTGATTTCCTTAAATTGATAAACATTCGCTTGTTTATTTATTCTCACTTACTGCACATCAATGCATCATTTGCTAATGCGTAAGTCATTTTACGATGAGAATTTGAAATTTCAACGCCTACTTTCCTGTTAAAAATGAAGTTTTCAACATGTGAAATGCTTCCAATATCATATGTTATTTTTCTCATTTCTTCAATCCTCTCCAAATATTTTCATAGATTATTTAGCATTTCGTTATTACGAAGAACTACTATTGCTACTATACGAAGAACTATTGCAACCAATTATTAAATTTATACATTTATTGATCTTTTTTATGAAAAATTTTTGGTAATGATTTACTATAAATAAACTTCTAAATTGTGCACATTTTTCAGCACTTATATTCATCATTTGTTAATAGCTTAATTAATTAGTCAGGTTTTATTACATATTCAATTATTACCGTCATATTCTTCCAAGGTAGCTTTCCATTGGTAAGTTCGACAACCATATACAACCATGATTCTACATCATCTTTCCGACATAGTTCACGCAATATGTGAGCCGATAATGGAGCATACTTTATGGTACCACGAAATCCAGTCACTGCTCGAGGATTTCTCATCGTGCCATCTTCATGGATATATAATCGAGCCATACCAAAATCAAGGACGTATACCTGGAGCGTTTTTGGTAATCAATTTACTTTGATCAGTTAATTTAATCAATTAATTTTAATGTTGAACTCTGAAAACTGAGATACGAATAAGATCTTTAGTTATTGATAATATTTTATCATAATCTAGCTGTATTTACCAATATATGAGAAGCTAACATATCAAAACTATCGAGGTTACTAGAGGTTTTTCTCATTCACTATAGCTTAATTGAATTATTAATTGCTTTCTAATTACTATTGTATAAGTTTCAAAACTCTAGAAATTTTAAGAAATCGATACGTTCCGTAATTCGTTGACTTCGGGTCTACCGATAGCAAAATTGCCTGGTTTAACATCTCGATGCAAATAGCCGACATTGTGCAAATCCTCCAGTGCTTCCAAACATTTAATGCCAACACTGATTGCTGTCCCCAATGAAAATTTTTTATTTTCAGCGTTTAATCGTAAGTCCTGCATAATCCATCCTTACAAATGTTGTTAAAATGAATTTTATTACATACATGTTGCTTGTAATATACATCAGTGACCAATCAATACCCATGTTAATTTCGTGTTTAATGACATTACATCATTGCTGTAAAACATACAACAGCTTTCATCTCTATCTCTATGTAATTAGCAATTTAAAATAAACTATTAACCTGTAGCGATTTTCCAACCATAGTCATAACAATGTAGAAGAAATCTTTATGTCTGCCTTTATCCTCAATGGTGCAAAAATGTCGCAGACGATCTTGCTCTTTCAGCTTATTCAATACCGTTAGTTCCATTTTCAAGAAGCCAACTTTTTCATGAACGCTTTCTACCTGGATGATTTTGAAGTTATTTTTTATCTTCTATGCGATTTTTTAAATTTGAACTAATCAATGTGTCTGTAAAACAGCCATTTAAAATCATAATTAATCCTAAAGTAAATTACCTTGAGCGCATATTTCTTATTATCCTTGGAACAAATATATACAGCACCGAAGGCACCTTCACCAAGTTTTCCATCAATTCTCCATCCTTCCACAATACTACCAATTTCAAGTTGTATTAATTCTCCCATCTAATTTCAGCAACACCCACTAATTTTGGCTTTTTAAAATTAACAATTTGAAAAGATGAAATGATGGTATGCAACACTTTTAAATTAATATTGCTACCGGATCCGTTATGCCCCAGATCTACCGTTTTTGCAATAGAATAAATTAACAATAAATTGCTGAACTTAACATAATATTTTAATACCAATTACTACAAGCTCAATGTTCAAATTTTATTACTCACCATCGTTAAGAATTTAAATAATTGTTACTGAGAATATTTTACTTTAATATTCATTCAACTTTGAAAATAATAGCAATGGTTTAATGACTATTTGTGGTACTTCGATCTCTAGTTAAAACGGTTCTGTCACTGCTAACTTTATTCATTATTTAATTAGTTGAATATAATGAGCGTTTAATGAGTTTAACATGATGAATTGAATATAATATAATTAATAATGATAATGAGATAATGAGCTAATGAATAATGATAATGAGATAGTGAGCTGTTAAAGATTTTGTTACCAATAATTGGTTAAGCTCTTAACATAAAATTTTAAATCGAATATTTCAAGTATTTGAACTTTTCATTTTTTTCATATTTTTATTTAAACACTTCTATTTTTGCCGTATTCAATGACATTTCAATTCCTGGCAAGATATTGTGATCTTTGCTGTGATATGTTGCATTTTATATTTTTTATTCGCTCTTCCCAAAATACATTCTCTTCAACCTAAATTACTAAAATTTCTCACGCCATCAGTAGTTTCCCTTTCATCGAATGATTGGTTGTAAAATCAAAAGATTTAACAATTTTGTAGCTCATCTTTCGCTCCTACAATAGGAAGAGAAATATGATCCGATATGCATCCTTGATTTAGCCCCATTCTCTCCGTTACATTTTGACATTTCAGCAACTCATAATTCCAAAAATATTTTAATTGAAAAGATTCTATTGAAACTACTATGTATGCTACACAAATTTATCCACCTGAAATTAAAATTTCGGATCATAGAGTTTAAAAATGTAATAAAACAGAAATTATGAAAGACAAAAATATTTAATGGGGGCTAAATTTCTTAATCTATCAAACTATTTCCAATTGTAATTTTTAAATTAAATTTAACCATATCAGAGGTATTTTTCATTTCGTATATATTACTGTTCGTTAAATTACATGCTAGTATCAATGAAGAGCTATCGGTCTCTTCGAAATTTGATTATAACTTATTAAATTATAGCCAAGAATTGTTAAAAATATAAACGTTGGGAGAGATTTAACGAATTTCGAAAGTTTGAATAAATTTAAATTTTTAGAAATCAAATTTCTTAATTTTATTTCGATTGAATAAATACTGCAAAAATTCAGATCTTCATAAAAATGAATTAAATCTTGGTTAGAAATAATCTGAAAAATTGAATTGATTCACAAATCTGAAACGATAATCAGAGCAAAAACTAGTTTGCAGGAATAACACCAAATATGTCAACCGGCTAAATGTTAAAAATTTCAAACTGGAATAACAAATAGTGTTTATTTTGTGGTTTTAATGAAGTTCTTAATTTATAAGAATTTTTTTACAATGATAGAAATTTGAATATTATGAACTTCTCATCTTCATTATTCTCTCATAATTAATTTAATTAATTAAATTATCTTTTCAACGAATTATTTAAGTTATATTATTTATTACGTGACAATTTTCAGATTATCAATGAATCAAGAAATATGAAATCATATCAGCTTTGAAATATTTTGAAGATCCTTCATTTAAATGATTGACTTATGTCGACGAAATTCAACAACAAGGTTAAAAACAGATTTTCATCGTGTAAACATTCGGATTGATCGCTTTGAATTAGATATAAAAGAGAGAGAGAGAGGGAGAGAGAGGAGGAAGAGTGAAAACAACCATTTAGAATATTTACAATGATTTTCATACAATCGAAATAGATTTAAAATGGATGAGTGAGCTGCAAAAACTACTTCCGAGTTAGAAGATATATTGAAAGGGAAAGGTTTGCAAAGTGATCGAGTCCAAATTATTTTGTTGAACTAGATTTTTCGATCCCATTCCCTCTAAAATGAAAAAGCATTAATATATATGAAAAGTTGTATAAAAATATTTACATGTTGTAGACTTCAATTATTTACAACAATTTTTTTTTTTAGGTATTTTATATCAATTTATTTTTAAGAGAAATTTACTTACAGTTAAAATATAGATTACTAATTTTTAAATTGCTATCAAACAATCATTCTTATCGGAGAATTATCTATTACCAAAATATTTATGGTAATCAATAACGTATGTCTTACTGTAACCTTCAACGCTAAAGATTAATGTATCATTGAAACAACGTGATAAAAAGTTTTGTGTGTTAATTTTTATTAAAGTTAAAAATTTTTTAACACATCACTAATTAATTAATATTTTGCAAAAATAGTATTCATTACGAAATAATAAATAATTTATTGATTCAAAAAAAACCTGACATATTCAGTATGAAATATTAATTGAAATATCGTTGCAAATACGATGTCATATAGTATTGTTGTCAATTTTTCGTACAATAATTACGGTCAATTTGTTAAGAATAATAAATATATGGCTGTCAAATTCAATAAAAATTTCTAAATAATATTTTGAAAATATTTGTCGTAAATATCATAAAAAAGTATTTTATGATATCATAACATAAATAATACAATTTTTTCATATAAATAAATGAAATTTGTTGAGGAAAATGCGATTATGCGATTGTATTTTATTGTTAGTATCATTTTAAGATGAGCATTTTGATAATTTCGGAGATTTAATTTTCATTTTCAACATTTTATCCATTTTAATCTTTCGTGTTAAGTTTTATTCTTTGTTTTTAAAAAAGTTATTTGTTTATCAAATAAGAAAGATAATGTGAAGATATGAACTTTTTATCATTAAGTTATTTGTTTATCAAATGAGAGAGATAATGTGAGGATATGAACTTTTTATCATTAAGTTATTTGTTTATCAAATGAGAGAGATAATGTGAGGATATGAACTTTTTATCATTAAGTTATTTGTTTATCAAATGAGAGAGATAATGTGAGGATATGAACTTTT